CCAGTTGGGACCCCAGGGATGGGAATCAGGCCCAGGACTTTCCCCAGTTGGGGCCCCCAGGGACGGGAATGACCCCCAGTTGGGACCCCAGGGACGGGAATGACCCCCAGTTGGGACCCCAGGGACGGGAATGGCCCCCGGATAAGCCGGCTGTGTGTGTGTTGCAGATGGCGGTGAGCTTCGAGGACGTGGCGGTGGACTTCTCGGCAGAGGAGTGGCAGAGTCTGGAGGGGTGGCAGCGTCGGCTCTACAAGGAGGTGATGACGGACAATGTGGAGCTGGTGACCTCAGTGGGTGAGTCATTCTTATTAAGGTTATATATCGCCGTCCTCTGCTGTGGCGCTGTACAAGAGTTCAATTTCCTGCTTCTTCCCAGAATCCTCTGAGCCATCCGGCCAATCATCTCCCTAGCTTTCCTCTGACACTAATAGAACCCTGACCTCGGATGGTGGTGACCTCGGATGGTGGTGACCTCGGATGATGGTGGTGACCTCGGATGGTGGTGACCTCGGATGATGGTGGTGACCTCTGATGGTGGTGACCTCTGATGGTGGTGACCTCTGATGGTGGTGACCTCGGATGGTGGGGCCACCGGCGGGTGGATGACCTCGGATGATGGTGGTGACCTCGGATGATGGTGGTGACCTCGGATGATGGTGGTGACCTCGGATGGTGGTGACCTCTGATGGTGGTGACCTCGGATGGTGGTGACCTCGGATGGTGGTGACACTGGATGGTGGTGACCTCTGATGGTGGTGACCTCTGATGGTGGTGACCTCGAATGGTGGTGACCTCGAATGGTGGTGACCTCGGATGGTGGTGACCTCGGATGGTGGTGGTGACCTCGGATGATGGTGGTGACCTCGGATGATGGTGGTGACCTCTGATGGTGGTGACCTCTGATGGTGGTGACCTCGGATGGGGGGGGCCTCAATGGTGGTGACTTCTGATGGTGGTGACCTCGGATGATGGTGACACTGGTCAGTGGTGACCTCGGATGATGGCGGCAGTTGTGACCGGGAGATATTGAGGCTTCATGTAGGATGGATATGGTGGTCTGGTCTAGCGTGGCGGGGGGACTTCTGTGTCTACGTGGCAGAGGACGTCTTCTCAGTAGAGTAATGGCCGCCCTGTTTGTTTCCTCAGGACTTCTCATTCAGGGGCTCAGCGGGTCTAAAATGATTCCTGAAGAGACAACCCAACTGGTGAAACGAGAAGAGTCACCCAGGGAACTCCATGGTGGTAAGAGAGATGAGGGGAGTGATGGGTGGGAGTGTTGGGGAGCAGTGAGTTGGGTGGTGATTGGGGGATGGGTAGGAGTGAGTTGGGTGGTGATTGGGGGATGGGTGGGAGTGTTGGGGAGCAGTGAGTTGGGTGGTGATTGGGGGATGGGTAGGAGTGAGTTGGGTGGTGATTGGGGGATGGGTGGGAGTGTTGGGGAGCAGTGAGTTGGGTGGTGATTGGGGGATGGGTAGGAGTGAGTTGGGTGGTGATTGGGGGATGGGTGGGAGTGTTGGGGAGCAGTGAGTTGGGTGGTGATTGGGGGATGGGT